ATTTTTTTTCCCTGCATACCGTATTATATAGAGTACTTACACCGTAGGCACGTACTCCGACGGGAATTCGTTCGTGGTATACGTAATGAGCATACAGGTTTTGCCAACGGTGCCGTCGCCGATCGTCGTAACTTTGATGGGTCTGTGTCGCGAGGCTGATTTATTGTTCTCTAAACAGTGAAAGATGATTTCAGTGTTCGCAATGATCTCCAAACCCTTGAATTATTCCGAAAGTTAATTTAGAAAGGATTGTTATTTGAAAGTTCCCAAACGAACCGAGATACATGTAACGCGCTATAACGAGATATATAATATAAGCAAAAATGTACAAACGAAAGCAAAATGTTCTGCAATTATATTCGGAGCCGCGTATCACGTACTCGTGACAAGGGTGGAACGGATATGTTCGATGTTTCTGTATTTACCCTCATTGTTATTACACATCGCGTACGGGGAACGGAGGGCAGGGTCCAGCGTCGAAGAATTGAGTCGAGTCGAGCCGAGTCGTGTCGAGCCGAATCGAATCGGTTCTCAGCTTCCCGGTCAATTTGATGACGTTTGTTATCAGCGGTGAACGATGCTAGTTATCTGTCATCCGGCCACCTCCATTATCCGCTACATTATTCGGCTGTGGTAAAACGAAAGAGGTTGATAGCGTCACGATAGTATTGGTATCAAGCAACGTCATTGATATGCGTGCATCAGACTGGCAATGAGATGCGTAGGCATTTGCCAGACGATCGCCCGACTAGAATGGAGCATGACGATAATAATAATGTCTTCGGGCGGCGCGCGCGTTAACGCTACAGCTGCCAATTATTCAAATTGTACGAATGCTTTTGTAGTTCGGTTTTTCGTGATTTTTCTGAAGAAAAATGTTGGGATTATGGAATGAAAATGAATATGATTCTAATTCTTTTCTTAACCCTAGAAAGATAACCATATGACAACGTACGTAAAAGATAACCATACGCTTCAGAGGCGCATGCTTTTCTAAGGCGTCAATTTTATACTAACAATGGATATTTATTTAAGTTAATCTAGTCATTTTAAAGGTTTGGCATTATTGTAAAAATAAAATGCATTTATATTATATTTTTTTATATTTTAAGTAATTTTAAATTTAAATCACTAGACCTCTATGAAAAATTAACAAAAATCAACAGTTTTCGCAGGCGCCTCTGCGACGTAGGTTATCTTTCTCGGGTTAAAAAGACTTTATTTTATTCCTTTATTGAGAGAAGGTATATGGGCGAAGACGATCGAACGACCAAACTCTACCGAGAGTCCGGTAAGAAAAAAACGCTTCTTTTATACCCTTCTTGGGTTCGTCTTATCCACCAATCAGAGACGTTTATTTGTCGCGTTTCACATTGTATACGTGACGCTGGGACCCTCAAACAGTCAGGGCACGATGTGTATCTAATGGTACCGGTGATGATGTATCGCGGTATCTA